GCACTGACGAAGTACTTTCGATAGGTTTTTTTTCTTTTTTTTTTTTTATTATTTTTTTCTTTTACTTTTTCTTTATTTTTTCGTCTTCGTTTACCGTCGACCAAGGACGAAAGAATTGCAAGCCAAAATGAAAAGCAGCACAGTTGTGTGGTTAAAACTAACTGGATTCTGGTTAAGAATTATTTTTATTGGGCTGGGGTATTTTTTATTTCTTTATTTTATTTGTTTTTTTGTCTTAGGGAAACATTTTCAGTATAATTTTTAATAATTGTTTATAATGCTGTTGAAAATCCACAAATGGTAGATTCAATATAACGAAAATATGGTACAATATTTAAATAATGTTTTTAATTTCAATGAAATTTGTTGGATTATTTTAGCAATAATTGTGTGAAAATAAAAAGAAATTCTAATGAAAAACTAAATTAGAAAATATAACGCTAGAAGCAGTAAATTTGTTTAACTTTTGCCAGCAAACGATGGCTATTAAGTTTAACCATAACGTTTTGATTTTATTTTTCTTTTCTGCGTTTTTTAATTTTGGTTTCCTTTTTATTCGAAATCAATGACTTTTATTAATACTTTTTAATGAAAACCTTTTGTTAGATTGCATTATTAGTTGAAATGTTTTAATTATTTTTTATTTTGTTGTCTTCTGGTTATAACCAACCGTGGGAAGCTTAAATAATTTTTTTTTTTGTTTTTTATTACTTTTTACAGAACGTACAGAAAAAGAAAAAACAAACTCTTAAATTGAATTAGCATCATATAACGTTACCATATTTTCATATAAAACACATTATATAGTACAAATATCACATTYCCCAAAGTACACACGTGTAAGTAAATTGTATTTCACTTTTAGAAATATCGTAAAATAAAAATTACTTTTTTTTTTTTTTAACAAAGTTTATTAACATTCGAAAAGCAAAAAACATTTTATTTTTTTTTCATTTCACTCATGTCAGATATTTACGTGTTGCTTTAATGAACATTTATTTTTTTCAATTGAATTTTCAAACTTCCACTTAATCACTTGACTGTGGAATTTAGTTTGAAAAGATCACTACAGGGTGTAGAATTAAAAACAAGTAACGACGTGTATACACGTCGAACGCAGGACAAATGGTATTATTATAAATTTGACGAAAAACCTGGTAGGATTACATTTTTATTCAAAGTCACACACAAAAAATAATAATTCGTTTTTGAATACGTTATTCTTAATAAAAGTTTGAAAATTGTGAAAAAAAATAATAAAATAGATAAAAAAAAAAAAAAAGAAAAATTGAAGATAGGAAGAATAAACGAAGAAAAATAAGAAAATAGTTAACAAAATTTCAACCTATGTATGTGTGATATGTTTCATAGTGTGCACGGTACTACGCAAAGTGCGACTTCACACAGGGTCGTACACCAAAACCTTGTTTCCATGCGATTTCCATTTTTTCGAGCAAACGCGACACATCTTATAAATAAAAATAAATTAAATAAATATAAATAAAATACATAGAGCTCGTATTGATAATATAAAGAGAAACATATCACCAAATAATATTCTTATTACATTTTATTGAGATTACGAGTTTTTTACAGTGAATGGTAATTTTGTATTTTACACGACGAGTATACACGTCAAACGCATCGCAGTAGAGATTTGGTCCGACGTGTATACACGTCGAACGCACTTAACTGGTTAAAGTATAGCTAGTTTTTTTTTTCCTACCGGTTAATATTGAATACTTCAACCTATTGATGTATCAAATCCCAAAGAAGAAAAATGGGAAGTTTCATCTTTCAAATTATTATCAGGATTTTTGAAGATTTCATATCACCTCTCAATTTACGTTTAATCGCGTTTGGAATTGTGCCAAAATTATTAGCTAAAATTCATATTCCATTAATCATCATTACATTGTCTTTGATCAAACTTAAGATTTCAATCTACTACAACGACGAGTCTCGTTAATCTTTCTATGTGAAACTATCATTCAACATTTACTTTCGATTTATCATAACTCACAAATAAAGAAAAATTATCTTAAATTTAAGTTAAATACTTTTGTGTAAATTTTTCACTAATACGACAAATAATACGGCATAATATCACTTTTTCATTTGAAGAATATTTCATCAATCATCTCTCTCTCTCTCTCTCTCTCATTGACATTATTAAACGGATATTAAATTTTATTCGAAAAATGTTACATTGGACAATTTGACAAGTGACAATTATAAGAAACATTTTTTATTGTAGAATTAAATAAAACAAAATCTTTCTCGTATAAAAAAAATAATCTAATAAATCGTCAAAGTAAATGCAATAACGTCATTCCAATCGATTAGATTTTACTCGACCATATTCGAATCGAACAAGTAAATATATATATATATATTTTTTTTTGTTTCTCTTCAAACTTTTATTCCATTGTTTTATAACTTCTCGATTCTCTGAATTGTTATACAAAAAAAAAAAAAAAAGAAAAAAGATACAACTAACGAACCAATCGAATTATAAAGAAAGAAAAAAAATATGCAAGATTCACTAAAAAGTTATTCATAATAAAATAGATAAATCGTAAAACGTCTTAACAATCGGAATAAGAGTTGAATTGAAAAAAAAAAAAAAAGTAGCACAGTTGTAGTCCTAGAAAAGAGTTCGAACTTTCAGTTAGCTTTTCATAGTTGAAGAAGTTGCGAAAAATGCACTATAGTATACTCTAACCGTTTACTTTCGGTTTAAGTCGTATCTTTCATATGTAAGAACGACTCGTCAAAAATCTACATATGTAGAATATAATACATATGTATAAATAACCATATAGTAAAATATAGATAAATACTAACAATACATATATATATTTGCTTACGTACCATACGTGATATTTCAATGCATATTTCGATCGAACATTGGACAAACCTCGTGTACAAATATCGAAAGAAGACATGAAACGTTTCCCCATACTCGCATTATCCTTTTGCTATCGTCTGCTACTCCTGCTGCTACTTCTACTACTGCTGTTAACGATTATCAATAAGCATTAATCCTCTTAATGACTCGAAAAGCGGATATTGTGAACTGTAAACCATTCACTTTTGCAATCGTGAACTTACCGATCGATACTACGATAATCACTCAGAATTAATGGCGTTTAATATACTCGATGGATTATTTCCGGAAAATGACAACTGCAGGATACGAGTGTTACAAGGATCATCAATTGTCTCGTTTTACTTCGAGCTCTTCGTTTGCTTGATAGTTCAACTCATGCCTAAACCACCTACGTATCTATGTAACTACATACATACATACATTTGTATATATATATATATATATAAATAGAAATCCTGGCGAAGGAAGACACGACATATATGTATGTATACATATCTGTGCAAGTACTATCATATACTAACGCGTTTTCGACATTGCATTTGCATGCACATTTGTGGATGCAATGTCTAGCTATCCTCACACGATTACAACACACACATATTTCTCTCTTATCTCTCCTATCTCTCTCTCTCTCTCTCTCTGTCTCTGATTCTCTTTCCTTCTCTTTTTCTTCATTTCTATAACCGAGATAAACCTAGAAGACAAGTGTGGGCGTTTCGATCTATCCTGGCAACGAAGAAATTAGAAACACCGAGCGAGAACTCTTGACTTTCTTGAGAAACAAGAGTTACATTCGTCCTCTTATTATTCGAAACCGCTACGAGATAAGTTCTACAAAAGAAATATCAAACTGTGACTCTGCAAATACAACATTGTATCAATGTAGAAGAGAACGAAGATTGTTCCTTGTTACTTTTCTATTTGATTTGAGTCAATTTGTTGGAAGTAATATGCGTTTCTTATAAAGTTGGTAATAAAACAAACGGGATATTTATTATAAACGCTTTCTGACAAAATTATTTTTTTATTTCAAACAAACGAACAAATTAATCAAGAAACATTTCTGAAATGTAATCAAACAAACGAACGAATCAAAGGACATTTCTGAAATGCAATTTAATTTACAATACGTCGTTTTTAATCCGTGTATTATAATTTTATGTTATTCTTATTGTGTAAAGATATCGATGTTTTTTTTTCTGAAAAAAAAAAAAAAAAGATGAACGAGAAGGAAGATATGAAAGCGAAAACTTTGCATATTTTCCCCTAGAGGAAAGTATCTATAAATAATAATTATTGAAAGTATCGTGACAGAGAAAGTCTGAGGAAGGTCTGCTTACTCTCTTACGTATTATCAGAAGTAGCCTAGGTTGCATCGTAAAATCGATAAAACATTTTTCATTCACGATTTTTATACACACACACACACACACACGCGCACGCACACATAGTATTTCTTGCATCGAATACAATTCAACGTAACGTTTACTCTAATCTGAAAAAGACATAATATTATACTTAACGAAATACGTGAAATGTCGTGATCTTTGACAAAACGAGAGATAAAAGAAAGGGGGTAGAAGAAAGTACGAAGCAAAAGGGGAAAAAAATTATCAGGGCGAATAGAAGTGAAGAAAAAGAAGAAGAAGAAGAAATATAGAAGAAACGGGTGTCTCTGTGACTGTCCACGAGGAAAAAGAAAAAAGGAAAAGGGAAGCAAGAAGGATGATGCGGGTTAAGGAAAGAACGATAGAGAGTGGGGGACTTAGAGGGTAAGGGTAGTAAGGTCGAAATCGGGGTAGGAGAGTAAACCGAAGATGGTGGGCGAACATTGCGGTCCAGAGGGATGAAGAGAAGGAGCTGCCGAGTTGCTGCCAGTGCTGCCACTGCTAGCGAGAGAAAATAGGGAGAGGGTGAGAGGGGTCGCCGTTCGGATGTGGATAGCCCTGTTCGTTCCGTTTGTTGAGGGTTGGAAGGGATGAGATAGCTGGTAGGTAGGTGGATGGTGGTAGTGGATGGTGGTGGTGGATGGTGATAGTGGTGGTGGTGGTGGTGGTGGAGGGTCGGTTGGTTTGCGTGGACCATCTGCGCGGCAGTCGAGGCCGCGAGGGCTCAGTGCTGGGGAGCGCGGCACCGCGATGCGTCGTCGGCTTTCCGTTGCTGCCGCACTCGTTCTCATTCCCTTCTAAACTTTTTCTCTTCTTCCGTCGCGTGACTTTTTCCTCCCCTGCCTGCTGCCATTTCTAACCCTTTCAAGTTTCTCTTATAGTTTTCGTTCTAGGGTTTATTTTTTTCCCCCGTGTCGTGCGTTTGCTTTAAGTCCGGTCGCGTATTATCTTAGTGTGAGTGTGTGTGTTTTAGGGTTTTACGTACGTTTCCGTTAAAGTGCGTTTCGGTGTTAGTTCGCGCGTTTAGTATTTCATCGAAGGGTGGTAAAACAACGAGGCAAATTGGACATGGCACCGGATAGGGCCATGTGGCGTTACGATTGGTGAGAGGAAGAGAAGGAGGAGGAGGAGGAGGAGGAGGTGGAGGCGCGTTTAGACGACGGAGCGACGCGTTGGAAATGGATCATCCGTATGCGGGAGGTTGGGTGCCTCAAGGTCATGTCGGAGGTAGTGGTGGTGCAGCAGCAGCAGCAGCTAGTGGCAGTGGTGGTGGTGTTGTTGGTGTTGGTGGTGGTGGTGGTGGTAGTGGTGGAGGAAGTAATGGTAGCATTGCCGGTAACATCGGTTATTCGAACACGGTGCCACGATGTTGGGACCGATCGTGCAGATCTACCGATCCGTCGCCGATGCGACCGATCGAGCACGATCTACGTACGACCGAAACGATGAGATCTATGGAATCCATGAGATCAGCGGATTCCATTATAAGACAACCGATGATGGAACCATCCTCGGCAAGGACCGGTTCGATGGATCGTCGACAATCTAGTAGATCCATGGAAGCAATTGGTAGACCACAAATGATGGATCAAATACGTACCGAACAACCAAGACCGATTCACGATCATCTAGGTAACGTTCCAACGTCATCAATGTCAGCGGCAACCATGAGGAGTAATCCGATGGAACATCACGCTATGCGCGTAATAGAACATCCCTGTCGTTTGAAAGATCACGCCAGTTATGTTCACGACCATCACCTTGGTAGACCCCACGAACACGGCTGCAGGTCGGTCGAACACGTTTCAAGATTACTCGAGCATCGGTTAGCTCACGATGCACACACCAGACCACCGCCGCCCCAATCGTCGGCTGGCATCGAACAGACCCCATGTCGACCCATCGATCATACCCCAAGGCCGACCGTTAACTACTCTTGTCGATCGCTCGAACACGCACCAGGAAGACCCATACCCATGGATTGCGTTATCTACGGACCCCACTCTCACACGCCGCCCAGATTACCTGCCGAGAGTCCCTTCCGCATCAACTGTCCCGTGCACAGTCCTTTTCGCTTCAGGTTCCTCAATGGCGCTGCTCCCGACTATCACTCTCATCAGGTAAATATCCTTAAAACACATTCTCTCTCACACTCTTTGACAACTTTCTAGACACCCGTTAGACTCTAAGACTTTATTTTCCTATGAACAACTACTACTTGTCGTATAGTTCACACTCGAAAGATCACATCCCCCTTTTTTCTTCTACGGATGATGGTGGCCTTCTTTTTAAAGGGCTGCTTCGAGTAATAAAGCAAAGGGAAAGAGAAAAAACCTTGACCTTCTGATCATAGGCGTAGGCGTACTCTTTTCTCTCTTTCTCTCTCTCTCTCTCTCTCTGGAAATGCCTTGGATAACGGCGAATGCCATCATCGTTGACTTTCGCTCACGTGCATATAATCGGTGTGTGTGTGTGTATTAAAATCTATTTTTATCCTACCGAGTACTTTCAACTTTATAATCTATATAATATAATTTTGTTCTATCCATTTTTTTCTTCCTTTTTTTTTCTTCGTTTTTTTTACATCATTGACTTATTAAAATATTCTACTTGAAAAATTTCTCTACATCGTTCTATACTAATTAACAACCGCGAACGTGCAATATTAAAATCTAACCAATTTTAACGTCGACTTTGCTCATTTTTTTTTTTTTAACCTTTCTTCCTCTAACACAAAGAGAGAGAGAGAGAGAGAGAGATAGTGTTAGTGAGAAAGAAACGTGTAATCAAGTAAGAAAGATTTCCAACAAACTTCCTCAATTACTACTTCTCTTTTGAATAAAACATAACGTTAGCAATTGAACGAGAGTTCCTGCCAAATGTTAATCCATATGCTGGACGAGAGAGTAATATAACTCTTCTCGAGTACGCCTTTGGCACTTGGAAAGCTATCGGTTTTTTTTTTCTTTTTTCTATTTTTTTTTCTTCTATTTTTTTTTCTTTTTTTTTTTTGTGAGAAAAGGAAAGAGTGTCCTCGAGATGGGAACGCTTACGGCGACGAATGAGATACTTCTTTTCTAAATTGACGTGAAATTCCGGCTCGGAGCTTTTCGTTGCCGTGAAGAAAAATGGATTAAGATTGATTGGCGTTCTCTCTGACGTAATAGTATTGGATGAAAATAACGAAATATACAACGATAGAACTTTTATACTTATCTATCTAGCAATACGCTTTTTATTGTGAATTATAAACAAAAACAAAAATTAAATTGATGAGATTATTTATTAAAAAAATAATGATGTGTGTGTGTGTGTGAATGTGTAGATTGACTGCTATTCTAACAATAAAATTATATTATGTTCGGTTTATATGTTTTAACGTTATTGTGCATATTATTTACGAAATATCTTTTTGTTTTTTATTTTTTCGTCGTTGTTTCAATATTCGTAAAAAAAAAAAAAAAAAAAAAATTAGAGGAAAATTTTTTCGCAAGAACGCAATTCTCGAGTTCAATTTTATAACAAAGGAATTTACTCTTCGCTCTCGTTAAATTTGATATTTCCCGCGTTGTATTAATATTTTGATCGAATCAACGCTTTGTGTATTTTGTTTCCTTTTAATGAACAAATTAAATGTATATTACCTCTACCTGCCATTATCGTAAATGAAATTAGAACGAATTTTCAACGTAGACGTTTATATTTTCATTATTAATATATTCTTTTTTGTTTTATAAAATAAAGAAGATATATATATATACGTATAATAAATATGTATATTGAAAAATATTCTTTATTATGTAAATATTTTTAACGCGTGCTATAATAATTTTAATTTAAATGAAAACAATTTAACTATCCTTATATTTAACTATGAATGTTATTATTTAAGAATTTATTATTATTATTATTATTATTATTATTATTATTACTTTAGATCATTTCGTATTTGTCTCAATTATTATATATATAAAATACTAAATATATAAAATATATATATAAAAAATATAATATATTAAATAAATAAAAAATTCTTCATCGTGAAATAAAAAAACCAAGAGAGAGAGAGAGAGAGAGAGAGATTAGTGCTTGATATTATTTTCTATAAATTGATAATTGTTTAACATCAGAGTTACTTATGTATATGCATCAAACGATATTATCATCTCATATTCATTGTCAATTTAATGATCACGTGTATGGAATAGCTATGGATTAATATTTCATGTATTAGAATTTGTCGAAGTAACTACTCCCGCGTAAACAGATTCTTGTCGATATAACCATAGTAGTTATGTTAGAAATGCTTCAAGTATCTTGATATGGATTATACATACGTCCTTGAAGTGTATAGGTTTCGAGACATATAGGGAGTGTACGCGATCAAGCCAGATTTCTCTTGCATTAACGTCATTGATGAGAATCCTTGCTATTAACATCGAGTGCATTCACTATGAAACAGTACGTCAACGACGACGATATTGTTGTCATATATATATATATAATAAACCCACGTTAATTTATAATTAGATCTATACTATTATCGGTCGTTAAGGTTTTAAACACTTGAACCCTTTTCTTCTTCTTTCTTTCTATCTTTTTGTTTTTTCTAGTTGTTAGAAAAAAATTGATTATTTAATTTAATATTAACACGTTGAGCGCCACGTCAGTCATCGGTGCTTGACACTCAACTATTTTTTCAATACAAAGTAAAGTCTCTGGCCTGACAAGAATTTCCCGAAGAATTCGAGTGGTTTTCAACGTGTTAAAGTTGTCAAGTTTATCTCTCATCGATATTTTTTTTTTTTTTTTTAAATTATCGTATCAATTTTATCATCAATGATTAAGAAAGAGATTAAAAATTTTTCTTATTTTCACCAAACCTTTTTTTTCTCTTTTTTTTCAATTTCCTAGGATTCTGACGATAAAAGTTTTGACCTAAAATCGTGTTCTAGGAATATTATCTTACTCTTTCTTCTTCTTTTACCCCTACCCCATTCGAAAAGAGAAAAAGATGTTGAATTTCGCATATTTCGTGCTTAAAATAAAACACTGATGACTACACATACCACCAAGTTGTGGCTTTTACGAGATCTGACCTATTTCACGTGTGGTGAAACATTGGATTTTCTTAATCCAACCTCGTTCCATTCGAAAAAGACGATTCCTCTTTTTCTCCTCGTACTCCTTGCTCTCCTTTTTTTTTTTTTTTTTATTACCAAGAAGCTAGATGACAAAAATTTTCATATAAGTTATTATAGGATAACGTGTAACTCTCGCGAATTCGTTTTAAATCGATCGATCCTTCCTGTCCTATATTTCGATTTATGTTTGTTATACATGTATATATATGTAAATGTATATTAGCACACAAACGAAATTCTATATCTGCGATTTTATGGGTACGATTGTACATCTACAACACTATTCCACACAAATAATACATCATATATACATGTACATATATATATATTTTATGATTTATCACGTGCATATTATTATACGAATATATTCGTAATAATATCAGTGTATTTTGTATTATTTTTTTTTTCTTTGCTCTTTTAACAAGAGAAATTCTTTTGATAAATGTTGAATATAAGATTTGTTATCAATGTTGTAATTATCAATGATTGAATTTGAAATCTATCAAATTGTATGATTAATATAATTTTATTATTGATATTCTAAAACAAATTTGATGACGCATATTTTACGATGTTATTTTATTTTCAAATGTACGATTTTTCTATAAATGTAGTAGGGAATTTTATTTAAGGTGAGAGGTGTGAGGTGAACAACATCCAATTTAATCCTACTAATAAGATTTATTTAAAACGGGTATTAGAAAAAGTACAATAACAGTTTCACAATCTTACAATTACAACTAAGATGAACGACTGTATTCTTACAATTGCGACTGTTACAACAGATGACTAACTAAGGCTACTTTCTTATTTCTTTCCACATATTTTATATCAGAAATGATCTACACCCTTTTGGAGAGGGAAGGAACTTACAAATCTTATTGACCAATAGCATAAGGATCCACCCCCATAGTCCATCGACGAGTACAGCCTATGGTTTTTGGTAGTGGAAACTATGCATAAAGAAACTTGATCTAGAAAATCGGAATGTTAATTCTTTATTCACATGTGTTTACATAGGAATTCGAAACCTCGCAAAGGGGCCGACAATGTACAAAGGGTTTTTATCGCACCAATATATCTCGGATAATTCTTAGGTTTGTTTGTTTATGGTTTTATGGCCTTCCTAATCTTTTCTTTTAATCTCTGAATAGAGTTTTCCTTTTTTATAAAATAAAATATAAAGAAAAGAACTGTGAATGTTCGACATTTAACAATTCTTCTACATAAATACATTTGTTAATAATATTTGAATGAAAATGAGTAATGATGGTACGTATCACGTAAAGGTTGAATGATATTTGTAATATTCATCCATAATGCTAATGACTTAATTAAATATTTATAGTACGATACATTATAATGGTGTAATAACAACGGAAACGTACATACATAGATACATACACATATATATATATATATACCAATTTCTACTCTCGTTTCGTGGTAAGTTAGAATACAATGGGCTTCGGTGGGTAGAGTCAGAATCCAAAGTACAACTTGAGTTATAAGAGGAAATGCTGGTATTCAATGGTTATAAACTATTTTCCCTCGTAGAATCATTGTCAACCTTAACTTGCTTTCCATTATTGCATACATTTGCGAGAAAGCGAAATACGCTTTATCCTTTTGCGATGTTATATCAGAAAGAAGAAGAAAAAAAAATCAAGAAAGAAAATACGTAATGATAATGGTGCTCTGTGGATTTTGTCCGCTGAGGTGAAACGTGGTAACTGGAACAGGATAAAGAGCAAAGCGAGGGGTTGAAAGAGGAAGGGAAGGAAGGGGTGAGGGTGTGGGTTATAAAAAGAAGAAAAATGAAACCCGTTGAAATGATTTACGAGTAGATTTTACCCTGTGACGCTTCATTTTGTATACCTTAGCGTACTATCATTTGCTCGTTTAATGGGGCTCATCATAACAGAGAGAAGAAATGCAAATAAACCAGAGAAAAACTATTCCTTCTATCCCATTTT